CCCCCCCCCCCCCCCCCCCCCCCCCCCACTCTCCCTATTTCTCTCTCCCTCTACACCTTTTTTTGTTTTGTTCTTATTTTGCAGGGCCGGTCGGAGGGGAGTTTTCTCTTGCTATGTCGTTTCGGGTAAGCGGGGATGAGGAAAAGACCCACGGCAAATACCTCGCCGTCATTCTAGGCAACCCGGATATGATTCGGAGAACAGGTGGGTCGGGGCTCGGGTTGTTGCCATTCATAGAACCCGAGATCAAATCATTAGACTGGTCAGCGCTGACCAGTCGAGATGAATGGTTTGATTTGGGCTTCTATAGATACAGTGGTCGTAGCTTCTTGTTGTTGTTATTGCTGTTGTTTCTGCCACTATTGTCCTGTGTCGTTTCGTACGATAGTGTTGTTTCCGCTGCTGCTGTTTCCCTTTTGTCACCGAAGCGAAAGCTCTTAGAGATCTGGCTCCGCGGCCTATCTTGATGTTGATGTGGTGCTGGTACGTCACCTCTCGTGGCGTTGGTCGGGGAACGGCTGGGAAGCTGAACAGGAAAGCTCCCTGATGCACAGCTTTCGTATTCGCAGCAGCAGGCCATTGCCGCAAGTCTCTTTTCAGTTGCTGTCATGGTAGCAACGCGCGCGTGTGTAGGTTTTTGTCATCACTGAACTCATGCCCCCGCCCCCCCAGCGCACCCAAGGATGGTGACCAGTTTCTGGTTCATGCTTATGACAAATGGTCTGGGCCGGCGAAAACCCGGCATATCGCTCCGTCCCGGCATTGTAGGGATGCAAGTTCTATCGACAACTGCATGCGTTTTCATTTAGTACACCTTCACCGCACGCGCGCGATGTCATATTTTCCCCCTCGGCAGGCGACACGTACGGTGTCCCCGAAGACTTCATCGGCGTCGGCGTTGTGATTTCGCCCCGCCCCCCCTCGGATTTGTCGGACATCTCGGGTGCCCCCATGCGCACTCCGGGTCCACGACAGTGAGTGAAGGGAAAACTGTTTAGTTGTCGCTGTTGCGGTTGCAAAGACATCATTAGATCGGGTAGAAGGCGAGGTGTTCGGTGAAACTGGGTACTACAAGACGTGCCGATCTCTCTTGCAGTTTGTTTGTCTCGGTCTCCCTTCAAGTTTCTAAGAATCCTTGTGCATGTAGGATGATGCTTGTGTTTCTCGTGGAGCGGACCCAAGCTGTTGCTACTGCTGTGATTGCGTTTGAGCGCCGTTTTGACCTCTACGATCAAACGGCTCACCACTGCCGGTAGACTTTGTGCACCGCATGTCACATGGATCCTCCTTAGCCGCTTCTGACGCTGTGCCTTCTTAGCTGGGCTTGACCCGGAGAGACAACGGCATCCAGCACTACTCCTACCAGCGGTGGTACTTCCACCCCGCTGCTGATCCATCCCCCCTCTTGTAGTACGAAAGGCAGCAGTGAAAGCAACGATACCTACACCAGTAGCAGCAGCAGCAGTAACAGCAGCAGCAGCACGACGCCTTACAACCATCTTAATCAACCTTTCATCCGTGTCTTGGGAAAGGTTCGTGTCGTTCATCGCCAACAACGGGACGAGGACCACGGAGGACGTGCGCATGGCAGCCAACAGCTGCGCCTCGACTCTCCGCTACTACCAGGGCAGGGACGACTTCAACTTCCTCAGGATGTCCCGCATTCGCCTGGGCTATTACGATGGGGAGATCAGCCTCGAGGTGCGTCAGGCGTTTTTTCCATGCAATGGGATGGGTCGATTGTCGCTTGCCTTTGCCTGCGGGTTTGCGTCCTGCTTTTGACTTTTGAGACTGAGGTATTTTCGTTTTCACGATTTTGGTTAGCGCCTCTGCTAGTTTGTTAGAACCGTATGAGCTGGTCGCCCCGGTGGCCTAGCGGGCAGCCTCGCAAACCTACAGCAGGTTCTGGGTTCGAATCTCTCTCTCGAGCTCTCTCTCTTTCTCGAGGGAGAGAGAGAGAGAGAGAGAGGGAGAGAGAGAACCATCGGCGATGTGGGGGTGGGAAGCGACTAGAAATATGAGCATAGTCTAGGCAGTAAGAGGGAAAGGGGCTGCTGACCTCTTTTCGCAGCCAAGGCCAGGGCAAGGTGGGACACAAGATGTGTAAGACTGTTCCTGTGTTACCCAGCTCGCGGTGACCCCAGCGGATACGCCGAAAATGGTGTAGACTAGCGCCAAGATAGACGGACGAAACCAACAACACATTCTCACCGGATCCCAGACCGCGGCCGCTGGAAGCACCTGTTTTTTGCCGCGCTGAGAATGTCGTATTTTCAGTGGTCAGCGCTAACGACAATGACACCCACACACGACCGCACAGGTGGACGCGCGTAACGTGGGAGTTTGGAGGAAGTGCATCACGACCAAGGTGACCGACATGCCGGAGGGGTGGCTGGACAGGGCGGGGGTGATCGTGGTGGGGGAGACGTCCAGGGAAGTGTCGAACAACCACGACGTCATGAGCCTCGAGGTATGGCAAGTGTGAATTTATTTTCAAGTATATTCGGAGTGTTTTATTTCTAGAACGGTGTACCCCCTTGTTGGGGGTGGTTAGCTTGTGACCACGGAGGGCGTCCGCGTCAGTTGGAACAGTATGGCCATTGGGAGGTACTGAGCGGAGGCCGGAACGGTTTTTCGGTGTGAAGACAACAACAAAAGGATTCAATCGCGGAAAGACTGCCCGCTGGAGAAATTGAAGGGATGTGTTAGAAGTCTTTGCAGGGTTGTTGTCGCACCATGGTGTGGGGTGGGATGATGGGGGGTTTCGAAGTCCACGGTCTCGGAAGGGAGGGGGGGTTGGGAGGCAATGGGCGCCGATGAACGAGGTGGTGATTGTGCCCCTCGTGTCTTGTTTCTCATGCGGATTGTTGTTGTCCTTGGAACGGCTTGTGTCTTGAGGGTGGCAAGCGTCCGTTCAACATGAGCTCTCTAGTGTTTCGTGAGGAAGGTTTGCTCCCCTTGAAGTGGTAGAGAGTGTAGATGACCTCTCAAGCTCTCGGGACGAAAAAACACCACGGGATAAAGGCGCCCACCTCTCCTTCTTCCGTCCTAGCGCCCCCTTGACACGCCCCGCGAATCCCCATCTCATCTATTATCTACTCGGGGTCCTCTGTAGGGCGGGTAAGGTGTGTACCAGGACGCTTCACCCGCCCCATTCATTAAAAGGTCCACACCGAGAAGAAGATAATAGGGTTTCGATGCCCCCCCCCCTCCCACTCATTTTCATAACGGAATGTCCTCCCTTCTGGAACAAACGAAACGGCAGGTGTACACCGAGAAGAGCGATGCCTTCGACGCGAAGAAGGTGGACGGGGACGTGGAGGAGGATAACCCGGAAGCGGATTTGGCCGAGCGCAAGAAGAAACGCATGTACGCCTTCAAGGCACACCTCGAGCACGAGTTCGACGTGGTGAGTAGCAAAGGGAGGGGGGGTGTACTCATAGTCGTGCATGCCGTAGTCGTTAGACCATTGACCTCGCATCCCTACACAGCCGGGACGGAGCACGCCGGGTTCTCACCGGACCAGGCTCTCACATCACCAAGCGCGAAACGCCGTGAGATATTCGGCGAGTCGCATGAAGGGTGAGCTGCATCCTGCTAAGGGTGTTCGGCATCTTGTGCTTACTTCCTTGCGTACGGATGGCAGCTGCGTATGACTTCTCACTTCCAGAGATAGTTGTAAGCACTGTGTAACTGCCTCGAGGGTGCTTGACCATTTTAACACAACGTGGTGCGATCATNATTTATTTTCTGGTGCTTTCACTTCCACAGACAGTTGTAAGCACTGTGTAACTGCCTCGAGGGTGCTTGACCATTTTAACACAACGTGGTGCGATCATCCCCCTTGCGCGGAGCGAGGGTTCTCGCCCCGCACAACATGATCTACTCGACCACCATTACGGTTACCGCCAAAAAAAACAGAGGTAAAACAAAAACGGTAACCTGGTTGCCGAGTTCACGAAGTGAATTGGCTTGTTTTACAACGTCGTTGCCAAGCGACGAAAACCCAACCCCGATGGCAAACAACGAGGGTGACGGGGGGGTCATTGTGTAGTTTGCAGAGGGGTGTGTGGGATGCGTGTTGGGGGGGAGGGGCGTCGAGATACGCCTCGAGCACGAGTAACAAGGGGGGGATCTACGTCACTTTTATTTCAGTTTTATTTTCTTGAAGTGGGAGGAGGTGCCTATTGGGGAAAAGGGGATGATGGGGCGAGTTGCTAGACTCTTGACACTTTTTTTTTGTGGGCGGGAGGGGTGTCGAAGACACACTACAGCAGTGCAACCACGAGTTGGGCGTGACCCACGGTGAGGATAAGGGACTCCATATGTTCGAGTGACAGTAGAATGGGGGTTGGGGGGCCCCGCACTATCTGCAGCACGGCACGCACGGTGAGGATAGGGGGCTCTTTGTGCTCTAGTGACAGTAGGACGGGGGCGGGGGGGGGCGCACTGTCTGCAGCACGGGACGCACGGCGAGGTTAGAGGGCTCTTTATGTTCCAGTGACAGTAGGACGGGGGGGGGGGGGGGGGGCACTATGTGCAGCACGGTAGCGTGCCTGCGTCGTTAGCAGCAAGAACCTTTTTGTAAATGATTCCTTTCCAAAATCACTCTTATTGATGGTCATGTGCGGAAAACCTATGCAAACTTCGGCGTTTACTCATCTCAATTGAACATCAAACCGTTCATGTTATTGTCGCGTTTGCTCCCTGCCGTTCGTTCTCTGTTCCGTTGCGCGCTTTGTTTCGTGTCAAAAGGTGGAGCGGGTCCTCAAGGACTCCGTAGAAAAGCTGGCCGATGTCAATGAAAGCATGCAGAGCCGTATCACGAAGTTGGAAAAGGACATCAGCACCGAGGTTGGTCGAATTTTCCTCTTTTTTTCTTTTTTTGCTGGTTTTGTTGTCGTCGTTCATGTGTTTCGTAGACTTGGCGTGTTTTCCCCGGCTAGACAAAAACATGAAAAGTTGGCACCCCATGCACCAGTGGAATTTTCTTCCCTGAGCTCCTCCCCCTCCCCCTCCTGGCTTGCAGCAGCTGAGGACGCCCCTTGATAAGGTTTGCCCCACGTATGCATATTTCGAAGTGAGTGCTGTCCCTTCCCCAACTACTCAACAGCTTGAAAAATTGGTACCCTATGCAACAATGACATCACGACCGCCCCTACCCTGGCTTCCAGGATCTGAATACCCCCCCAATGCTGCCTTGCCGTACGTCGATTTTCAGGTGTTCTCTCAGTTGAACAGGCGCGTGAAAGACATCGAGTCCAGGGTCACGAAGAACGCCACGCCGACGTTGGAAAACCGCCTCTCGGTGGCAAAGGAATTGTGGTCCGGCGAGGTGCGGTTGCTCGATGATGGTGCTGTTTGTGGTCGGTGCCGGCGGTGGTGTTGCTTCCCTGTTGTTGCAGTTGATGCCGCCGGTCGTGCTGGTGGTCCCGATATATCGCGGTGTAGTGGCAGACAGTAATCACCGCGTTATACAGATAGCACCCGCACTTGACAGCCTCTGGTCTCGGCCGAGGCTACGAATGGCCGCTATATTGTTTTAATTCAGTATAGGGGTTCTTAACCGTCCTCAATATGGTGCTCAAGTTTTTAGATTTTGAATTTTCGAGGTTCAATTTCTGAACTGCTAAGCGGGCGCTATCTCTTTCGGGACCCGCGCCATTCCCTGAATACCAATGTAGAAATATTGCCTGTTGTTGCAAGGGATGTTTTTCTCGCGATATTTCGGGAACCGCGATATTCGGGACCGCGATATATATCGAGACCAAGACTGTGATGGTACTGGTGCTTAAGCCATGGCCGATAGTCGTTCGAACCGGCCTGCATCAATCGCTGCATGCGTTGCCAAGGAGTCGTTCGATGGAAGCGCACGACGCTGGTACCTCAGAACAATTCTCGCTCTACAAAACTGACTACCGGGGGGGGGGGNGGGGGGGGGGGGGGGGGGAGGCGACTGTATCCTGGCTCTCGAGGAGTGACTTGCTGTGACGCACTTCGAGGCAGCCTACATAGTTGCCACACGCCGTCCCACTCACGTTGCGCGCGCGTGTGTAGGATCGATGATATCCAAGTATGTTATCGCAGGCGACGTGGATGGCGATTCGGGTGCGACTGAACCAACGTATGTTCACCAACTCGCTCTTCAAACGTTGAAACCTCTACCCTCGCGACGCTGTTGCCCTACTGTTTCCCTTTTTTTTTTTTTGCGTTTCCCGAAAAGACCGGGGACTCGATGGAAATCTTGCTGAAAAAGAACACGGGATACCGGCTACCCTTCTTCTTGGTGCTGGCCGTCGTGCTCGCCCTGTTCGCGGTCTCGTTGAAGCAATACCGGAGGCTAATGAGATCCAACTTCCTGGGAGGCATGCGATAGCGCGAGAGGGTAGGCGGGAGGGGGGGGGGGGGGGNNGGGGGGGGGGGGGGGGGGGGGGGGGGGGGGGGGGGGGGGGGGGGGGGGGGGGGCGACAGACCACCAGGAAAGCTTTTTTGTGCCGAGTGGTAAACGGAGACCCACCGCCGCTGCTTGCGGGAAGAAGCGCGGGGCACCAGGCGGGGAATTCTTCGGTCGTCGGGTGTACCTTACCCGTCTCGCCGCCTCGGCCTTAACTCAATTTCAACGTGGACTGAAAGCGTAGCCGTCAACCGCAGTCGGACACGAAGTGTATCTGTTTGGTCGTGTCACGGATGTGCACGGGCAGAGTTATCGCCACCTTTGAGATCGAGAGGTCATTGTAAGACACGGATTGTCCATACCGTTCGTTGTGTCGGGGGAGGGGCATGGGTGATTCACTGTGCCCCCACAATAGCTCTTATCTGCGTGGTCGTCAAACGGTGGTGCTATGGAGTCTTCCTTGTTGTGTTCTTGCCTCCAGTACCTTGCATTTGTTCTCAGGGTTGCGTGTACGAGACGTTGTAGTTGTGTCTTGTGCCATCTGTCCGCTATGGGTGTGGTGAAACGAAGAGCCACACGGCCTTGCTGCTGTTGCGCTTGGAGGTTTGGGCGTGGGGCTTGAGGAGAGCCTCGATGTTTGGTAGGGTGCGAACGCCATGTACCACATAGTTTGTCCGTTTCTTGGTTTGTGTATCTGTATGAGAGTTTGTTGACTGTACCGTTACAGAGTGTCCAGCTTGCGAGTGTACTCCTGCTGTCCCCGCTGCTGTTTGAGACACACGAATTAAGAGTGGCGCTTTGAACGACGGTGATGTGTGGGGTGTTTTGAGGAAAATGCCTCTTCGCATTTTGATGTGAGAGGAACGTTGGCACCGTAAGGGTGTGTGCGTGACTACATTACGCCTCCCGCTCCGATTTTGTTTTTGGGTAGAAGGCAAGGCATGCAACGAGGCAGGGTAGAAGACTTGCCGACACTGCTTTTCCGTGCCTTTTTTTCTTTGTGCGGTTTCACCAAGTAATAGTACATTCGATTGCGTGAGACGTTTTTTTTGTGTGAAGCTCTCGGAGCTCCCTTTCCCTTTGCGACGATCCACCCGGATGGCTGCAAGGGCTAAGTTCGTATGCACTCGCCCCGCGGCCGCGCGACTTGGTTTTTAGAGATCACGGTCCAGTGTTCAATTAAGTTTAGGAGGGTCACGACAACTGTCTTCAGCACGCACTTGAAATCAGAGTACTAATTTATTTTTTTGGTCAGCCGCAATCAGAAACTGACACCCCGATTCAGGAGCTTCAGAATTTGTCTTCAAGTGCGCACTCCATCTGGCTAAACGAAGAATAACACCGGAGGGGTTGCTCGCTTGTTACAGTATCCACCCGTACTACAGCTAACAGCAAATCTCCCCTCCATGCACCAGCGGATGTCACGCTCCGTCTCCATTGCAACAATCATCCCTTGAGCTTGTCGCAACGCGTTTACGGAGGTGTGCGGAGCGAGAGCGAGAACCAAGCTTGCTGTGGCGGTAGTAGCGCTTAAGGAGTAGAGATCGGTGTGGCGTTCTGTTGTTCGTTGATGACCACCGTGCGCCGAAAGCCGACCTGTCCGACCTAGGCATGGTGGTACCTCCGTCTTTCTCCTACTTATGAAGAGGTTGCAGGTTGCCTCAGGCAACCGTGCTGGTCCTCTAGGACACTCCGTCATCTTTTTGAACGTCGTGTCGTTGTAGTCTTGTAGTGATGCAGGACGGACGGTGCCCAACGACCACGTCTTTGTCATGGAAGAAAGTGGTGAGCAAGGACAGACAACCGTCCGCGAGCTACTCTGATGTAGAGAACACATATGACTTGGAAGTTTCACACACGGCCAATCAGTCCCTGCGTGCAATAGTAGCGTGCTCTCTCAAATCATGTTGCATCCTATGCACAAAGGTTGAGCAAAACGAAGACTCTTTATTATTTTCATAAATTATTATACTTTTTCACTCCATTGCTCTCGCGCCAGATACGCACACCATTCGAGCGGATGGGTTCACGGTTGGACTGAGTAAATCTGCCACGAACGAGCCTGATGGCTTAAGGGCTACGCAGCGTTGGCCCTCCTTCGCTTGCGATACGCACACACCTCCCAACGTAGCTTTGCACTCATCTCGCTCTGCGTTGCCTGCCACCAGAGCTCGACCTCGTTCACTCCTCAACATCACACCGGTCGTCGGCCTGGGCGAAAGGATTGTTTGTTCTCAGGAACGGTCTCAAGAACGGTCTCCTACATTGCTTTCCCGCCGTTCTCCGCCGCCGTCCACAAGCTAGCTAGTCACACTCATCATACCTGTCTGCAAGCTGGCACAACACGCTCAACCTGCCCCCCGCGCGTTCTTCAGACCGTCCTTCTGTACCCGGCCTGTTCGCCTAACAATGAAGTACGTACTTCAAGTTAACAATATACCCCATACAAAGCGATTTTAACACTCAAACCTTTTACTTCGAAGTATTAACTTTCCACCGCATGATATCGGTACAATCGGCGAACGACGACCAGACCGGGGACCGTTCCCCACGCACCATAGAAACCGGAGAAACACGTCGGAGATTGCGGAGATCGTCACAACGAGCTCTCTCGTGCGCCCGTGTACTACTACCCACCGGCGACCTCGCCGGCCCCATAAATTATGCCAGAATATCATGGAGCTCCCCAAAGGGAACTCAGCTCACACACCCTACAACGCCAGACCGATACAACATACGTACACCCTCGGCCAGGAAGACCACCGCTACGCCAGCTTCATGGCCGACGAACATCTTCGCGAGCAAAATGACCCGACTCCCCGCTCTCTGTCTGGTGATGTGGGCGGCTCTGCCCATCGTTGAGATCAATCATTATCGTCAAAGAACACTACTTTTCCCGCCAACAACGCACTCCTCAAGGTAAATAATGTAAACGCATTCAATTTAACAAAATGTAACCTACCTCGGCGCAGCTCGCGCTAAAATAGAAAGCCCGACAAAAAACTTACGAAAGGCTACCACTCGGTCTGGTGCACAGACCGGTATAGCGGCAAATATGTATATGCCCTCCTACAATTAAAGAACAGCATCGGCGCTGAAGCTGTTAGCGAAATCGAAAACGTCTATACACCGCTCATGGCGTCTTCCTTCCCCAAAGGCGGAACTTGCCGATGGGTCTGTCTCATCATTCTATCCCTCCTTACACTTGGCAACTGCTGTGAAAGTCTAGCCGCGTATGTATGCTGTCCTCGCTGGCTAAGCTGGTGTCTCGGGCAAGCAGAATGTCGGGGCACCCTTTCCCATCCCAAATCCATCCCTTCCTTGAAATTTTCCTTGTTGCCACCTCCATGCTCCGCAAGCTTGCCTCTGCCGTGCTCTCTGCTCGAGCATCGATCCTTCAGGCAAGGGGCGCGCGAGCGTCAAGCATATCGTCTACAAAAGCCCAGCGAGCATCATTTCATAACAACCTCCGCATCCAATATGCTATGCAACAAGGCCAGTCTACAACATTCCCATATTAACTGGCGTTTTTGCTCCCTGTGGGGGAGGTGACATATCCCCCCCGGCGACCTAAAATGGAAGCCCTCCCCGCAACTTGCTACCCCCCCCCTTCCCCTTCCCTCCCCAACACGCATCACATGATCGATGCATACTTCCTCAACGCAAAAACTATCAGGGGTAAGACCCCACAAAAAGAGTCAAATATATCAACACGGTGGCTCATGTCTTTCACGACGCAAAACAGGGATAGGCCCCAAATCTACAAATGAGAACCAGGCTTCCATGGGGAACCTTCGTGCGGAATGCGGGTGGGTGTGCACATGTACCGGCGCGACACTCTCGAACGAGCTACACATCTATATCGAAGACGTACAAGTCAATTCTACAGACAAGCAAGGTGGTCTTGCGCGGGGGTTGTATCTCATCTCTCTCAAAACACTTTTTACACCCCCCAGAAACATCCAGACTACGGAACCCCCCCCCGACTCGACCCCGACCCACCGATGATGAAAAATGTTTATTTGCCGCGGAAGAAGGAACGAAATGTAAGTAACAAGATCCAGGCCTTCCCGGAATTCCCCGTCAAAACCGCGGGGCTGAAGAGCACGTCCATCCTGTTTGCGGGGCCCCTTAGGCCGAGAGATTTATCACGTCTCCCACGAGAGACCGCGCAGATCACGTGCCCAGCCAGAACTATGCAATCAGGTGTTAAGACCAATCGGAGCCAAATTGCCAAGTAACTAGACCGCGAACTGGACCGAACATTAACTGATCCTCCTCCCGCTGTGCAAGACGAAAACCTGACAAACAAAAGGGGCGACGCAGAATACTAGTCTGACATAGACACACACACCATATGTACGCGGGTCAAACATCACAACCCCCCCTCCTGCAAAGGTTACAGCTAGCCTTGCGACTTGAAACTGCCGCTCTTGTTCGCCAAGGCTTGGGCGGTGAACTGCATCCCGGCCCCGGCGTACTTCTTTTTTCTCTCCGCCGCTGCCGCCTCCACATCCTGGAGCTCTTTCCGCCTGGTGGCCCAATATTCCGCCTGGCGGACATCCGACAGAAAAAAACAAACATACGGCAGTATGGAGCCCAAAAAAACAGGGGGCCGCACACGGAAGTAAGCTCACGTATTTTCTGTCTTTTTTTAATGTTGCGCGGGTTTTGCAGGGCTTTCCTTGAAAAATCGAAAAAAAAAAAAAGGGGTTCGCGGCCGGTGGTGTCAACGCAAGTCTCGCTGAACCTCAAAAATGTACAAAATTTGTCTTCTCTCAACTCACTCGTCACACCCGCTGAAGCGTACCATCCAAGCAGTTTCGCGCGTACCATTTTAGACCTTTCCCGGGCAATTCTCTCTTGCTTGGCTAGTTGTTGGGTTCTTCCGTGTGAACAGAGCATCGGCAATTTCATTACCTCATCTTTCGGATCAGCACGAACGTCGGCCTTTTACCGAACTGGTACTCACTCAACACAACAACAACAACGGCAACGGCAGCAGCACAGTGGCAGCAACACCAACTACATCGGCACCACTACCAGTAACACAAAACAGTAGCAACAATCGTTCGAGCAGCAGGAGTAGCAGCAGCAGCAGCAGCAACAGCAACGTCAACAGCGGCAGCCAAGCGACACACACCGCCCGACCAGCTATGCACTCCCTTGACCTTGTTCTCTGAAAGTTCTTGCGCCTGAGCCTCCAATTCCGCCTCCTTATGCTTCCCTGACATCTTCGACCGCTCCACCACTTCTTGAAGGGCGATCACCTGGACGGAGAGACAAACAGAGAGTTAGAGAGAGAGGAGAGAGAGAGAGATAGAGAGAGAGAGACATCAGACACGGCTAAATAATAGCTAATACCAACCAAGCAAAGAGAGGGAGAGATCAGACATGGCCGAATAAGCCAACAAAAATTCAAACCACTAAAGCCCCCCAATGGACCCCCCAGTCTCGCCATAACATTACGCCAAGGGCTCTGGCACTATCCCACCCCACCACCTTCTCCTCGCATCCGTGTGCCCCCTCCCTCACGATATGGCCTCCTGCCCTCCCCTTTATTTATGTTCGCGTGTCTTGTCCATGCCACCAAGTGTCGGTATCACTTTTCACCCCGTCTCCCTCTTCGGTTAGCTCACCCAGACATCCCTGGTGGCTGCGTCTGCCGCCTCAAGCTCCAGCTCCTTGGAGTTACCCTTGCCAAGCAAGACCAGTCCGGTTGCACCCGCAGACTTGACGTTCTGCACGCTGGTTACCTATGAAAAACGAAGAGAGAGAGAAAGTGAGAGACAGAGAGAGGCGGCGGGGGATAGAGAGGAACATCGGAAGATATGAAAGACATCACGAACAAGCATTGCATCATCATGACTGCGAATTATTTTTACTTCTGTTGACGTACAACAAGCCAGCTACCCCCCCCCGCGGACATCCTCGGGAGTACCATGACCCCCCCTAGCCCATACAGGGGGCCACTACAGCAGCAGCGACGACAACGGCCACTTGCGCCGATGGCCAACAACGACAACAGCCATCACCACCACAAACGCTCACCCACAAGGGCAATGAATCATTGCTGGAAGTCGCGTCAGGACCAAGCGCGTGTACAACCACACTGCTGTGACCCTACGGCTTGCGATCCACGGACGGAAAGGAAACGAATTCTTCCTGAAGCAAATAAAAATGAGAGAACAAGTTTTCATTTTCATGGCAAAAAAACACACACCACAACAGCAATAACCCGTTCGACTGTGGGAATATCTCAAACGGGAGGTCTCTCTTGGTGTTGTTGACTTCACATTAAACCGTATGCCAGTTGCTAAATGCCAAA